TATATATCTGTTATTTGACTGACTGTGCATAACCACACTGCAGGGATGATGTATTTTTGTAGGCAAAACCTGAGTTTTTGTTCAAGTTTTGCACTTCCGGTTGTATCATCCTGAAATCACTGGATTGTTTGAATGGGTTTAAGAGAGTGTAAGAGGCATAAACTTTTGTTGGTGACAGAGCTTATTTTTTCTGCAATAATCCAAAGGTCAATGGAAAACCCTTTTTTTTTTTAGGGAACCAGAGTGACGCTAACTTCCGGGTTGGCCTACAAAAATACACTGCAACTCTCTATTATACATGAAAGTCACCAAATAAAAAATAACTATGTGGGACAATACTGATTGTTAAATTATTTTATAATTTTACCCATATATTCTCTTTTTTTTTTGTGAACAATTGTTTTTATTAAATAGTTAGAACCTGTATATTATCTTTAAAAGCCTAGAAGTTAAACACTGTACCAATATTACAGTAATATGTATTAATGTAAATAGTATTGATTAATGTTTTTTTTAATAAGTCCTAATTTTCTCTACAATCAATAAATCAGATCCAAAATGGTGCTAGCTGCAAAGTCGCACTGGTTTTTGTTTCTCAGATGAGTGGTCTAAAATACGACATATATATATATATATATATACATACATATACATATATATATATACAGTATACTGTATATGCTTCACAAAGTCAACTTCAAAGTGAAATATGTATTAGCATGCAAAGAATTATCTCCCTCTATTCCCACTGTTTCTGCAACTTGGTTTGAAAGTCAAAATTCATTTTCACTTTTGAAGTCACTTGAAGAGATTAGAAAACAATGAAGTATCACAATTATTCATCAGAGTTTTACAATGACAGTTCAGAACTCCAAGAAGATGCAAAGGAGTTTAATAGCATGTTTCACATCTATGTATGCCTGTCGTCCATCATCAAAACCGAACATGATTTGCTCACTGGTGTGTTTGTGATGTTTGGTAAATGATGCGTGAACTGGTGAGTGTGTCCCAAACCTCTGAGCTGCGAAGAGCCCTTTGGCACGTGACAACATTGGGCTTGTATGACCTGTGGGGCGTGTAGTCCATCCTGTAGCTGCTGTTCGCCGTCTCGCAGTCCCGAGTGAACTGTCTCACCACACACACATAAAAGAAAGACAGAAACACTCAGCAAACAAATCCCACACTCAGCAGAGCTTGTGGTCCCTTATTGATCGCAGATGTACTCTCTCAGGTCTGTTTCAGCCTAGGGGACTGCAGAATGACTTGCATCAATTCCATTTGTCTGCCTCCAGTCTGTGCTGACCAAGCTGATCAGCAGCGCTAATCACTTTTGCATAGATCTGAGCACTGTCAGAGGAACTGCACCCCTTTCAGGGTTTAAACAAGTACTTAAGTAGTGTGTTAATTACTCAAAACAAGAGCCATTAGGAATTGTGCCTATATAATAATCACCAATATATGTTAGAAGCTAAAAACACATTTTTAATGCAATGTTGAAATAAATGAGCAACTTTGAATTCAATATTGTTGGATATGAATGCCCTAGAAACAAAATTCTTGGTCTCAATTTTTTTTCAATTATTTGAACTAATCTGATTTTTTTTTTTTTTTAACTCAGCCAGTGGTTTTCATCAGATCTTCACCAAACCATTTACATGCAAATGCAAGGACTTGATGATGTGGATGCCAAATAGGAAGTGAGGCTCCATCTTCGCAACGCTTTTGGCTATTAAAGTGACTCTTTTTTAGGATATATGTCATTGCCACTATGGCCCAAAGATATACGAGTATTTTGGGTATATTTACTATTAATAAATGTATCACAAGTCACCAGTTTTTAGTGCATAAAATCACAGCAATTAACAAATGACAACAATCCAGACAAATCCCATTGGACAAAACCACCTTACTTTTTTCCCCTTCTCTCTCATTCAGGAAGCTTTTTAACTGAGATATTTACAGAATGAAAG